AGTTTTCTATGATAGTGATTTAAATATTGTAATACTTGCGCTTTTAATTTTACTTTTTTATTTTTACTTTTTTAAGTATCTTTTTTCTTTTTAAAGTGTGAAGTAAAAACAATAACTAAAAGTAATATCAAAAAGTAATATAAAAATATTAAATATATTACTTGCTCATTACACTATAACTGCAACTTAAACTTTAAATTATAACTTAAGCTGTAAATTATAACAGTAACTTTATAAAACTCCAGAAATGAGGGGGGGTGGGGGTGGTTGAAATTTTTTTTTTTTGTGACTAGATTCTCTTGCATTAATTCGAACCCTGATATATATACAGGGTGGCACATAAGTTTTGTCCTCGCCCCCTTGCATGACTTCAGTTAGTCTAGTAATCAGACAAAATATGTTTATACGCAATATGCACTATATTTCAATCATCTTACAAGTCAGGTCATACAAAATGACTGTTACAGTTTATTAATAACTACTGTGTCCTCCATTGGCAGCACGAATTTCCTAGACACGTTTTGGTAGTGATTCAACCAACAAACAGAGATAGTCACCAGTCACAGAAGACCACTTGTCTTTTACCCGTTCCACAAGTTCAACTCTATTTTTTGGCTTAGGAGCCTCAAAGACACTTTGTTGAAGCAAGTTTCATAAATGTTCAATTTCATTAATATCTGGACTGTTCCCAGGCCACAATTCTTTTGGAATCATCGACGGAAAGTTTTTTGCACAAAATTGTTGAACGATTTTTGCTAAGTGTGCAGGTGCACCATCTTGCTGAAAAAGAATCATATCTTGATTAAAAAACATTTTTCTCTTATCAGCAGTATCACCTTGATGGTTTCTTGTAGTAGCCTTAACATATTTTGGTAAAATGTGATTCATGTAATAATCAGCATTGATGTCTGCTTCTCTGGCACAACAACCAATTCAGTCAATCCATACCATGACATACCACCACACACCATAATTTTCAATCCAAACTTAGGACGAACAGCTGGAGTGATCTTTGATTTGTCATCAGTCCGTATTCGCATATTCTGACGATTTGGAACTGGAAATAACTCAACAGGGCTTTCGTCTGTCCACAGAACATGGCCTCGTTTTTGTCTACCAACATGGTCATCTTGAAGGTAACCATTTTGTTCCAACCAATCACAAAATTTTAAGCGATCATTTCGATTTTTTTCAGTCAATAGTGGTTTTATTGGTTTATGGTAAGCCACTTTACCCCATGGTTGATGTTGAACAAAACGTTGCACTGTTGAATGAGAAATTTGTTTTTTACGTGTAATGTATCGTTCAGAAAAGTTTAACTTTTTCGCACAACTTCTTGTTGATGAACCCCACTTGTCCTTCATTTCACTGGTTATGATTATATTTTAACTTCTTTGATGCTGGTGACAACACAGTTGGACGACCACAGCGTTTCTTTTCATTAAAGTTTGTATTAACAGGTTTTCTCCAGTATCGCTGAACGCTTTTCTCACTGCAGCCAATTGCAGCAGCTACTTCAGCCTTAGACTTTCCTAATTTACCTAACTCAGCAATGCATTTCTTCAGTGATGCTGTTAAATTTGATTTTCCAATAACTTTACCCATATAAAATACAGATGCAGATACAGAAAATATAGAAAATAGCACATTGTCCTCTTAACCTAAAGTGGACAAAACTTTTGGGCCTATTGGAGACAACAAAGAACTCAAATTGCCAAAAAAATAACCTCAAAGTAAGCTGGTTTAAAACTGAAACGTGTTAGACAGATGTAATTTAACAAAACTTAACAGAAAATCTTGCAATTAATACATTCACTACTTTTCTAGGTCTATTTTTATATAGCACAAATTTTTTTATAATTCGAATTTATAACTTTTACAAACCTCTGGTCAAGTGTATGCATGTAGTTTTAACTTATGTTATACAAATTAAAAATTAAGATGTGCTTTAAAGGGATCCCAAAGTGCCGAGACAAGTTGTGTTCATTTTAAAGAGAATGATTAAGAAAAAATGTTTGGGCAGAATTTTCTAAGTAAAACAAAATAATAAATGTATACCAAAAAAAAAAACTTTATTGTTTTACTTAAAGCTTGCTGTCTCCATGTTAGCCAATCTCTCAAAGTCTTCAAAATATAAGCCACAACCTACAGACTTTATAATTTATTCAAGCGCGTTTAATTCCAAATAGTTTTAGTAAATGATGTCATTGTAGATTTTTTTTCTTTTGAATCAATAATATTTGTTTTTGTTTTATTTGTTTTTTAAAATAAGTGTTTATTATCAATTGTATGACATTCCTATAAATTTTATAAACACCTAAACAAAAGAATATTTTTTTATAGAGAGCGCAAGAACAAAATAAATTTAAGACTTTTATGTTAAAATATAATAAATATATTAAAATATTCTCTTAAATATAATAAATATTCAAGAAAGACGCTGTTCACCTCATTATATATTCTGAATTTTTTTTATTTTTATGTAAACAATGTAAACTTTTTTTCTAAGCCTTTTATCACTATTATGTTTTTGTTCTCATATCGAAATGACATTTTACAAATTCTTAAATTTTTAATTAATAAAGAATTTTGGTAAACGACATCATTAATTAGAGATATTTTCTGAATTCATAAATTTTTAGTTAGAAAATAATTATAGATTATATACTTAACAAATTTACAGACAGCGTTTTATTAATTAAAGCAATAGTTAATGTTTTATGGCAATAATTCAAGACAGATGGCGATTAAAATTGTTTATGTGTTGCAGCGTGCGTTTAAAAACATATTATATTTAATATTTCCCAATTTATGTTGTATTTGGCAAGTCCAAAAATTAAGTCCAAAACAAAACTCATTTAATGTATAAAAATAATGTTTTTCTTCATAAGACATTTTAATTACTTAACTAAAGACTTCTACGCTTCTACAAGTTAAGTTTTACAGTGTTAACGCTGCTTTATTTTAGAACTAAATTTAAAGAAGTTTTTTTAATCAAGGATTACTCAAAAATTTTTTATCTTTGTCAGGTGATAACTTTTTATAATAACACTTTTTTTTGTTCTTGATTATGTAGAAATTAATTCTTAAGAAAAAACAAACTATGTGTGTATAGTGAAAATCTATATACAAAACAAGATAAATTGCGAAGCACACTTGAAAGCTGCTACCATCGGCTTCTGGTCAAAATTTGAAAAAATCAAAAGCCGCTGTCAGCGGCTTGCGGTAGTGTTAAATAATACAAAATAATACGAGCTTAAAATATTTGAGATATTTTATTGATCTTTTTAATGCGAATTTCGCAAAATTTAGAAATTCTACAGTTTATGATGAAAAAAAACTTTAATATAATAATAAGTAACTAAACAAATTCTTTAGTAATCTATAATAACAATAAAAAAAAATTATATAATTTGATAAAAAAAAGAATTTTCAGATTTGTTATCGAAATTCTACAATATCATTTACTAAAACTCTTTGGAATGAAATATACTTGAATAAATTATAAAGTCTGTAGATTGCGGTGTATATTTTATAGACTTTGAGAGACTGGCTAACATGAAGATGGTGAGCTTCGAGTAAAACAACAAAGTTTGTTTTTCTTGGTATACATTTATTATTTTATTTTACTTAAAAAATTCTGCCGAAACATTTTTGTCTTGGCACTTTGGGATCCCTTTAACTAAGCATTGTTATTCAAATATTTAAATGTGAAAATGTAACACTTGTTATTCTTTTGCATATATTATTAAAAATTTAAATTTTTAAACTAAATTTTAGATAAAACAAAACTTTATCATGTTTTTGTTAATTTATGTCACATAAAAAAATGAAAAAGTTTACTTGTTATTTTCTTGATATATTCATATATATTTTTTAAAGTTTATTTGTTATTTTCTTGATATATTCATATATATTTTTTAAAGTATAAAATTTGACCAACAACAAATTAAACATGTTCAATTTTAATTTGTTCCATTTTCACACAAAATTAATTTGAATAAGCAAATAAATTCATAGTTAAAATAACATTTTACAATGCTAGTTTTTTGCGACAATAATGTCACAATCAGAAAAACCATAACTTTTGGAAGCATAAAAATGACATAAATTAATTTTAGTACTATATTTTAAATAAAATTTCATGTGTCTACATTCAATTCAATTAATTCAATTCAATATATATTCTGAAATAAGTTGTAAAATTTCAAGGACTTTTACAAATAGTACAAGTACTAATCTAAAGTAAAAACCTGCAACATTACAATAAAAGTGATTATAATAACAATAATAATAGTATTGATAATAATTATAGAAATAATATTAACAATAATAATAAGATGACGATGAAAATGAATATTATTAGTAATAATACTAACAATAATAATAAAGATATTATACAATCAATATTAGATAATAGCAATAATAGTGGTAATAACAATTACATAGTATAAGTAGTAAATAAACTTAAGAAAAAATTAAAAAAGCAATAATAATACTTATTATGTTATAAATAAAAATAACAATTTACTAATAAAGATAGAAGAATATTATTAATATCAATACTAATAATAACAATAAAAATATGAGAACAAAAAGTTAATAATAAAACTAGTAGGTATCAAGAAAGTAGTAATAATAAAAGCATAACAACATATTTCAGAGTCTTCAGGTATAATATCTTGCTAAAAAATAGTTAAAAAGACAGTTTTTGAAATTAGTAATAGAGTCAATTGATTTTAATGGTGAAGGTAGACTGTTCCATGATTTTACACTTTATTATTTTATGGATTTTAGACCATATTTTACAGAAGAATGATTTGGTACATGAAGATTATAGGTTACACTACATCAATATTTATTTGCTAAAAGTACATACTACATCAATATTTATTTGCTAAAAGTTGGCAAAAAATAAAATTTGACTACTTTTTTATTTTTTGCCGTGGAATTGCCCATATATATATTTATATTAAAAACCATTACTAAATTACCATTACCTCCATTAATGGATACTTGAGCAGGTGTTGCAATGTTAGAATTGATATCTTGAAGTCTACACTGTATCTAGTTTAAAATATTATTACTGTTATTATTACTTGTTATTACTGTTATCATTACTTTTTATTGTTAATAATATTTGTTATTATTTTTATTATTACTTCTTATTACTGTCATTATTATTTTTTTATTACTGTTATCATTATTTGTTATTACTTATTATTACTGTTATTATTTAAATTACTTGGTTTAATTAAAAATGTAACATTGTTACACTAAAAAGGATTTGTTCCTAAATAAAAGAAAAATGACTGAAAATAAAAAACCTCTTCTAATTTCTGCACAACTTCCAAATGACCAAATTCAAGACAAAACTCTTTTGCTATTCTAAAAATTACAGTATTGTAATGTGTAAGGTGTACAAAAAAATGCATCCTTAAATCAATCATAAAAAAATCACTCATCAATCACACTCTACATCACATCTTCTAAAAAAGTAATTACATAAATATCACCAATCAATGAAATCAATGTACTTCAATGTAAAAGATGAACAAGTATTTGTTTGTTTGTGTTTTATTTATTTTGTTTACATAGTATTTATTTTATTTTATCTATTTGTTTACATGTTATTGTACGTATATTTCTTATGTTCACTTTTATTTTAATTTTCTACGTACTTTTCATTTAAAAAACTTGAATAATTTTGCTGATGTTTTTTTTCTCAAGTTTTTTTTATTAACATACTTTTTATTGCATACACAGCAATTTAAAATGAGACCTGTACCACTGGTTATGCCACCTAATAAAAAGTTTCATTGTAGTATCACCATTAGAACTTACAAAAAAAAAACAAGCAATTTATTTGAATTTCAAAAACAAGAAGAAGCAATCTATTTTCAATTTCAAAAGCAAAATAAAGCAATCTATTTTCAATTTCAAAAACAAAATAAAGCAATCTATTTACTACTTCAAAAACTTATTTAAAAAACTCTTTTTTAATTAAAAAAAAACAAAAAAAACATTTTATTTGTAAAACTTGCAAATGTTTGCAATTTTTTTGTCTCAATAATTCTTTTGGAGTTTGCTCCCTTCATCTTGTTTTTCTGATTCATATAATTTTTAATCTTTTAAGTTGTCTGTTAATTGTTATCTTGCTTTATAAACTTCATCTTTACTCTTCCAGTAACAACTCTAATAGTGGTTGCTTGCAACTCTAATAGTGGTTGCTTGCAACTCTAATAGTGGTTGCTTGCAATAATAGTGGTTGCTTGCAACTCTAATAGTGGTTGCTTGCAATAATAGTGGTTGCTTGCAATAATAGTGGTTGCTTGCAGCCTTGTTGGAAGTGAAGATGTTAAAAAAAAATTAAAAAAATTTAGAAATTTTGCTTTATTGTTATTTGATTATGGTTATGTTTTTTAGAACATTTAATTATAATTAATTTAGTTAGATTTGATGCACTTTAATGCACTATAGCTTCTTTCATTAAATTCCAGATTCCATAACTAAAAATAATATTAATATGTAAAAAGTCACTCATTTTTCACAAAACAGCAAAAATTTCAATTCTTTAAGTGCAATTTCATTAAAATCTTTGAGATTCCATTAAAAATGTAATTAGTCTATTGTCTTATTAGCTCAAAAATAAAATGTCCATTATTAGTTGTTCAATGAACCAATTCTTACTGACTAACAAATTTTATACATTTCTGGTTTTTGTGAAAAACATTTTCCAAAAACCTTTGGAATATATAAAACAGATAAAATCGAATTTTGGTCCCCCAATTTCATCACTCTGAGACCATTGGCAAAACAGCAATACTCACCAATTTGACTTTATAACAACCTTTTTATTGATTTTTAGCATAAAAAAACTTGTATGAGATATTATTAAAAAATAAAAAATTGAAAATACATATAACATATTTGGGCGTTTTATTGCTATTTAAAAAAATGGGCAATTCTTTGATGGATAAACTTGATTATAAAAATTTGACAAAAAGATATTTTATTTTAGCATATTTTTTGCTTGTAGGTCTTAATTTTATATTTTTGGTTGAAATGTTTAAAGAATACCCAAATACTACAATGATAAAACACATATTTTTGAAACAAAAAATTTTTATAAAACTATATAACTTTATTGCAATAAAAAATGTTGACTTCATTGATTCATTGATTGAGCAAAATTTTCTGGAAAATTTTAACCCTACACTAACCTCATCCTAACTAGTGTAGCCGACAAACATATTTGGTTAAATTTACTTTTAATGGCCATCCATTGCTTGCCATTCATATCACTATAACTTCTGTATCCAAAAAGAAACTTTTCTACAATTTGTAGAAAAGTTTCGACATATCTGTTATAGCAAGACTATAACAGATATGTCGTTATAGTCTTGCAGAATACTTCTGCAAGACTATAACAACATATCTGTTATAGTCTTGCAGAAGTATTCTTTGGAGCTGTTGTCTATAGTTTTAAAACTATTTAACAAGTGCTTATCAGAGTCTTGTTTTCCAGCTGGCTGGAAAGTGGCATCTGTTATCCTTATTTTTAAAAATTCTGGAGATCAATCTGACTTGTCTAACTACCATACCATTAGTCTTGTTACTATCATAAGCAAGGTTTTTGAGTCTTTAAATAACAAACACTTAACCTCTCATCTTGAATCTAATAACTTACTTTCTGAATTATGGATTTTGATTTTCTAGTTCTAAAGCTGATTTATTAACATTTACACCTAATATTAAGCTGGTGTATTAGGTATGGTGTATTAGGTAACATATTTAGGACTATTGAATTCTTCTTTACCAATCGTATAATAAAGTTTTCCTCAATGGACAGCACTTTTCTTTATTTCCTGTAACCTCATTTTATTATCATATAATAACTGTAATCATATAAAACCGCATTTAATGTACACTTAAATATTTAATGTACCCTGAGTTTTACTTCAACATTTAATGTACTCTGGGTTTTATTTAACATTCAACGCACCTGGGTTTTAATTCAATATTCAATATACCTTAGGTTTTTCTTTCAACATTCGATGTACCCTGGGTTTCATTTCAACATTCAATACAACCTGGGTTTTATTTCATAATATTTTTTCTGTTTTTATTTTCTAAACATAAACTTAAAAATTACAAATTATAAATGTTTTTTAAAATTAAAACTTATTAAATCATATATAATTTCTAATTTTAAAAACAATAAAAATTAAAAAAAAACAAATAAGAAAGTTATTAATTTTTAAAATGTATAAAAAAATAGATTACCCAATAGATGATGTGAGCTCATCAGTGCAACCCATTGCTTCAAATACTTGGTCATCTTTTGTTCTTCTTTCCCCTCCAAATAATGAAGATGTACCTAAAAAACTATAACTCATAAAAATATTTTTAGCAAACTACTTTAAATTTAAATTTTTAACATAATTACTAAAACAAATTCATTCTTCTGACAACTTTTAACTCGATTGAAAGTATTTTTCAACAGATATTTTTATAATAAAATTATCTTTTTAAATTTGTAGAAAATATTACTTTAACTATCTAAATAAATTACCTTTATCTCCAGTGCGTGTATATATTTTAAAAGACCTAAATATTATTTTTAAATGTAATAATGTGAAGACCATTATTAATACCAACACTTTATCTACACAATTAAAAAAAAAGTTTCATGTTCTTTAAAAAATGATAAAAAAAGAAAAATAAAATAAAAAAAAATAAAAAAGCACACAACTAAGCAAACATACTTGGTAGCACATCCTCTTTTTAAACAAAATGATGTTTGCAACTTTAAACCAGATTTCAAATGACACAATATAGGTAAGTTCATATTTTATTCAGAAATTTGTTATTTTTAATTACTTATTTGCAATGATAAATTTTTTTTTTGTAATGCAGCAATAAAAATAGATGTTAAAAGTAGATGTGGAGGTGGAAACAATAAATTCATTTCAAAATAATGAAAAAAAAATAAAAAATAAAAAATAAAACTAAAGAAAATTTTTTTTTTATATGAAACTCTTTATTTTAATGAATCAGATTCTATGAACTTTAAATTTAAACCAAAAGTTTTTTAACTATAAATTTTCTATTTGAATCAAATTAAAAAAAAAAAAAGAACAAACAAAACTTGTTCCTGCATCAACATTAAAAAAATATTTTTTTAAAATATTAGCATAATTATTGTATTTGTTGACTTAATGATATCAATCTTTAATGTCTGTTTCAAGTATTAACTATATTTAAATATTAAGAACATTTTATTCCATATAGTTAACCTATAAATTTAGCTTCTTAGTCATTGAAAATAAATCATTTTATGAAGCAATACATTATAGTCTCATGAAGAAAATCAACAAGTATAAAAAAATAAATATATATTTTTAAATATCATTTTTAGTAAAATAATCTTTTATATAAATTGTCAAATTGAGCAAACTAGATAGATAAAAAGCAAACTAGATGAAAAAAAAACAACACACAAAAAAAATAAACAAACAAAACTAATGCATAAAAGTTTATTATTTACTTTCATGCCTACATTTTTGAGTGCTATATATTTTATACTATTTTTTCAGTCCGAATCTTCTTTCAAGACCAAGTCTGGCAACAATGTATGGAAAATGGCAATTTTGTCTTTTAGTTGTTGGCACAACTGAAGAGCAGTGTTGATCCAAACTATAAGGTCTTTTAACCATGGTACTGAGCAAATAACCTGAAAGTTTATTAGAAACTGTTAAAACACATACATAACAAACACATACATAACAAACACATACATAACAAACACACATACATAACAAATACACATACATAAAAAACACCGAAACGATATACAAATGCAATACACACATATTCATGATTTAATATAATACAATGGAGTTATAAAATACACAAATAAATAAATGCACTAATAAATAAATACACTAATAAATATACTAATAAGTAAATACACAAATAAATAAATACACAAATTAATAAATACACAAATAAATAAATACTCTAATAAATAACTAAAACAAAATGCAATAAAGCTAAAACATATAGTGAAGTTTTTTTTTTTAAACAAAATTTAATATAATATTTGAAATGAAAAATATAAATAAAAACCTAAATATGAAATTCTAAATCAATTATATTAAAATCATATATAGTACATACCTCAGCTTTGTTAATGACTTCATACCATTTATTGTGAGTTTCACTTGTTAAAAAAAATAATTATAAAAACAATAAATTAACAAAACAAAATAACACAATATTTAAATAAAATAATGTTACAAATACACAGTAATAAAATTATACAACAGCATCAACTAGAAAAAAAATACAAAATCAATTAACAAAATTAAAATTTTATAACAATAATAAAGTCTTACAACTGATGACCAATGGTTGATTGATCTTGAATTAGAACTTTCTAAAAAAAAGTTCTTGTTTTTATTTTAAATTTATGATTATATTTAAATATTTACAAAGAAAATATTTGAACACTCTTACGAAAATTTAATTGATTATCTAGAAAATCAATTGGTTTCACAGAAAACCAAATAGTCTTTATGGCATCCAAAAAATGATTTGGTTTTTTTGTAAGAGAAAAGAAAACAAATTGGTTTTCCAACAATTTAAATTTGAAAATCTATTGGTTTTTTTGAAAATCAACGCATGCTTTTGGTTTTTCAGAATTTCTTATACATTCCTTAAATTTTATTGGTTACTTACTTATAGCTGCCATATTATTTTAACCTGGCACAAAATCTCATAGCTGTTGTTTCTTTGTTAGTTAAACTCTGTTAAAGAATTCTATGATATATCTTTAATTTCACTTGTTTTTATTATTAGTTTGTCTTTATTAAGCTGTTAATACCATGATAATAACATGATAATACCATGATAATGATGATGTCATTAATTTAATAGTATTAAATGATATGCTATATATCTTTTTAACTGTAAGTATTTGCTATTTGTATGTAAATTATATCTATACCAATCGTTTTCGTTTGCACCTAGCAAAACTATTGCTTAGCAATGTTTCATAATTAGTTATGATATGTTGTAGGTACATGACATAAAAATATTTAAAAAGCCTTAAACTCTATACCTTTTTAGTTTTTTTTATAAAGAAATTTTTTCTTTTTTATTTGAATCGTTAGTATGTTATTATTTTATTGAGTTCCATAGTAAATAAATCCTTTTAATCTATCTTTTATTTTTAGTTCCCTTTTATTTTAATTTCTTCAAGTTTTTTTATAAGTATATAAATTTAACGAATTAAATTGAAAAAATTCACTATTTTGTATTAATAGATAGCAGTTTACAGTCATAAGGTTATTGCATATTCGTTATCATTAATTTGTGCGCACTTTGCTAATGCATGAAAAATTGTTTTGAATTAATAAAAAATTAATAAAATTTAATAAGCATCTTTGATATATCTAATAACATATTAACTAGAATAAAAGTTCTTTGAAAATAAAACTCCTTTATAATTAAAAAAAAATTATTTGATTAAAAAAAATTAAAAATTGAAAGAATTGAAAATAAAAGCTTATTCAACATTTACCTCTTAAATTAGACATTTGTCAATAAATAAAGATATAAACATCTACGTTTATTAAAAAAAAAAACAATTTGTCACGCCCTGATATATATATATATTATATAATGGCATTTCCACGATGGAAGAGATAAATTTCATGTTAAAAAAATTTTTTTTTCTTTAATAGTAGTGTAAACACCTTAAAATTATTGTTAACATAAATTTTGAGTAGAAAATATTTGAACCCAGTAGACAAATTTGATGAATGTTAGCAGCTGTTTTTTCTTTTTATTAACACCTTATAAAAAAAATTTCCGACAAATTTTAATTGCATTTATTATGTAATTTATTTCATGCACACAAAAAACCTTTACATTTATTTGAAAGAGGATTTTATAATTTATTTAAATTTAACTTAATTAAGTTAAAAATATTATTTAAATATTGAAAAAAAAATGGTCAAAGTTAAGGACCTTGAAAAAATGATGGAAATTTTTTTCCAAAAAACCGAGAATAAGGTAAAGCGTTTGTTGCCAAGCAGTTTATGGAATGGGGTTTACCCAGATCAACTGTTTACGATAAAATTGTAAAATTGGAGAATGGATCTCTAAAAAGAAAAGTTGGAAGTGGTCGAATTGCTAAGGTAGCTACTAAAGAAAATATTCCAAAGATTGCTGCATTTTTTGAAAATAAGTCAGGGTGCTCCCAAAAGAAAGTAGCTCAAGTTTTTATTTGGAGTCAAACTCAAATTTCCCAAGTATTAAAAACAACGACTAACATTCAAACTTTCAAAAAAACAAATCGTTCAGATCGTAGCCATCAGCAGAAGAAAGCTATGCATCCTAAATATCTTAAATCATGCGAAAATTATAAAAACTTGGATTTTGTTATGCATGATGAAAGCTATTTTACCTTAAACAATAGCACATTAGCTGGTAATAATAGGTTTTATGCCGCTGATCCTTCTCAATGTTCTGACAAAGTAAGATACAATTTGCGTAAAAAGTAAGAGGACAAGCTCTTAGTTTCTTGTTGCATCAGCCCCCGGGGAATAAGCACTCTTTATATTCATCACAGTAAGCGGGCAATATACCAGTACACTTATAAAGAGATACTAGAAAAAACTTTACTTCCTCTAGTATCAGAATATGATAAAAAAGACAATGAGTTTATCTTCCTGCCTGATCTAGCACAATCACATTATGCAAAGTCGGTCATCAACTTTTTAAAATTGAAAAAAATCAAAGTTGTACCCAAAGATATAAACCCAGCTAACGTTACAGAAGCAAGACCAATTGAAAACTTTTGGGGTGATTTAAAACGGTTATTGTACAAGAATAATTGGAGAGCTGAGAATTTGGAAGAGCTTGAAGCAAGAATTAGATATTGCTATTTAAAGATGAATAAAGAAATTTTCCTTACTCAAATAAAACATCTTTCAAAAAAACTTTATAATATTGCTAAATATGGTATTTGAAATAATTATTTTAATATATTTATAAACTACATATACTAACATATTAACAGTTGAAATATTAAATAATAAAACTTATTAGTTCTTAAAACATTAATTTTTAAATTTTGTCCAAAATTTTATTTATGAGGTGTTATTTGAAAGAGTAAAATTTGAGGGCAAATTATTGCAATATTTTAAACAAAACATATCTATATTTTTGTTTAGAAAGAAACTTTGAGATTATATATATGTCTTAAGTAAAAAAACTTTTAATCTTTAAAAATAATTCAAGTGTTTTTTTGTCACATACACATCTGCAAAAACTAGGTTGTGTCACTGAACTAAAAGCTAAAAAAGTTAAATTATCACAATGAAATTAGGCTTTAAGGCGAAGTCTTTTTAGAAATTATATATTTTAAAACAAACTTTTCATCACTATTCAAAAAACGTTTGTTAAAAATTTATGTTAACTTATAGTTATAGTTTAAAAGCTGTTGCATCACTGAACATATCAACGGGATAATTAGTATCATTAGCATCACTGAACATATCAACGGGATAATTAGTATCATTAGCATCACTGAACATATCAACAGGATAATTAGTATCATTAGCATCACTAATGTAAAATAGCGTGGTAAGGAAGTCAAAACTGAACATTTGGATGATCCAAATGTTCAGATTTCGTTGCGGGTTTTATTCAAATAAACTTATCATTTTAGTATTGTGAAGGGCTAATAGTAAATATTTGTAAATTATTAGATTTTTGTTGTCATTTTCTTAAAAAGTTGTAAATTTTTAAGAAATGGAATCAAAATTAGAAGTGAAAAAAAAAAAACATTATGCAGAATACCAAGCTAATTATGTTTCTTGGAATGCTGATAAAAAGAAAAAAATGTTAAGAGTAAGATCACTTGAATTATCTGACGGAAAAGCAAACAATATTCAGATACCTCATTTATTTTATATGCGAAAAGAAGCTTTCAAGTTATTCAAGGAAAAGCATCAGTACATAAAAATTGGACTCAGCAAATTTTGCGACCTTTGTCCACGCAATGTGAAACTAGTTATAAAATTTCAGCATAATGTTTGTGTTTGTAGCTTGCATGAAAATATATGATTTGCCTCAGATGCATTACTAATAATTCAATTCAAACATCTTCAATCAAGGTTGGATCTGAAATGATAAATAACTTTGTTTGTGAACCATACACATATGATTGCACCTATGACAAATACGTTGCGTGCAAAGGTATGAAGCAGTTCAATAAATACTTTGCAAACATTTGGTTTTGAAGTATCCTGGGATGAGCGGAGAAAGCCTGAAACTAAATCATATGCAAACATTGAAAAAATTTCAAAAAAGTCTACTGTAACAGAACTCATGCAACACATATCAGCAATGCGTGATAAGTTTGTTAAATACGCCTTTGTAAAAAAAACCAATCAACAATTTTTAAAAAACTGAAGGAAGTTTTGATGAGTTTTGATTGTGTGCGAAAATCATTTTCATAAAAAACTCTATTGGCATTTCTTTGCATCAATGCACGGGAAAGGAGCGGTTGACGGAATAGGAGCTACTGTTAAGCATATTACAGCCCTGAAAGTTAAACCTAGTCAATGCGAAATCAGGTCAGCAGCAGATTTTGTGTTAGCATTACAAGATTTGCAAATATCTGTAATTCATGTCAGAAAATGACACAAGACAACAAAAAAATGAACTTGGATTCAGTTCAATTTTAAGTTATTCAAAAAAAAAATCAAAGATATATCAAAATCACATTATTTTTATGTTCAATATGATAACATTGTTCTGATGCTATTTTCACCTGAGTATAATTAAAATTTATTACAAAACTTTTAAAAATGATTTTAATTCCATTTTTTTGTTTTGTCACTAAATGTTGCGTCACTGAACTCATAGTTTTTTTCTGTAAAATAAAACGATATGAAAACTTTGTTGTTAATGGCTTTTTTTTGACTGCCTTATTGCCAAATGAATAAATTATAATAAAAAAAATCTAATTAGTCTAGCAAGAAATAAAATTTCAGCGAAAATTTTTTCTTTTTTCTGCATTGCGACACTGAACTCATGTTTTAATTTTTGCTGTGTCAATGTTATGTTTATACAATTGTGTTTAATTTATATTATAAAATTTTAATTTAAGATTCATTTAGATTAATAAAAAATTATTTCTGAATTATAGAAAAATTTTTATAAAAAAAATCTCTCCGCATGATGCGTCACTGAACTATGGAATTGGCCATAGATAGATATCAAATGCATATACAAATATGGAAATAAATATAGAAAACAATAAACTTAAATTCTTTTTTTAAATTGTAATCACTAACTGAATACTATTTGCTATTTGCAAAACAGAACTCATGAAGCTAAATTAAGTATAATAATCATTAATAAACCAATTTTGAATATCCAGAAAACCAAGTAGTGTCAGTTTTCTAGGAAACCAACTTAGTCTGACCATGTGGATATTCAAATTGGTTTTCCAGAAAACCAAATTATTTTAGTTTTCTAAAAAAACAAAATGAATTTGTATTCTATATATTCAAAATTGGTTTATTGGAACAAGCTGTAAAACCAAATTAGGTTTTTTAAAAAAACTGATTTTTGTAAAAGCGTGTAATCAAACTAAAAACATTTTTTGATTTAAAAAATATTTTTAAAATTTTATCTAATAAATTTAAATAAAAATTTAACTTTTTTTAATAAATATAAAACAAATAAATCTAAATAAAAATTAATTAATAATAAAATCTAGAAAAAAATTTTCTTTTTGAATATTTATTTAAAATATTTATTTAAAGTATTTATTTGTAAATTATTAAAAAATAAGTAAAAAAAAATTACTTGACTTGGAGCACTAGTAAGTGAGTTCAAGACATATACAGAAAGAACAACTTTATCACAATTGACATTAAAAAAGATGATTAATTCTTCAGGAATAGATGGATTGAAAACACGCTAAAAATATCATTATTTTATTAACTTAAAACAAATTAAACTGTCTAAGTAACAAAAAATATTACCATAGTATTGTTAAAAATATTACCATAGTATTGGGTATATTGGCCAATATTGGCTGATTTATTTATGCAATGTAGGACAAAAATTTTCATTCCAATATTGTGCCAATATTTGTATACCAGTATTGGCATATTAACTAGAGCTTCCAGTTCAAACATGTCTAGATTCAAACTAGAAGCCCTATGTTTAGGTTTGAACGTTCAACATTTAGCCATTTTTTAAAAAGTTCACATTGAGACTCTTTTCCTTTAAAGGTTTGAATATGTATATATATTAAAATTATGTTCTTTATCATCATTTTTTAACAGTAAAACCAAAACCTCTTTCAAATTGTGAGACCAAAACCTCTTTCAAATTGTGAGATTAAAACCTCTTCCAAATTGTGAGACTACAAAAAATATCCCTGCTGCCAAAATACTGCAAATTGAAAAATACCAAGAAAGTTTTTTAATGATGAAAATAACTTTCATAAAATTAAGAATTGAATTTAACTCAAAAATGTACAACAACATCAACAACTAAAACTCTTTATTTTTAAAACATTGAAATAAAACTTAACCATCAATAAGACATTGAAATAAAACTTAACCATCAGGAAATTGTATCTTTTTTTAGAAGTGTTTTTTAAGCTAGCAAAGTTAGGCACACATACTTAGATTTACTTTTTAAAGCTCTGCAAACTTTCTCCTACATCATCAGAAGTTTAGAGACCTTTTTCTAATTTTGGACTGTTTGCAACTAAAATAAGAAATTTATTAAGTATCAAAACTTTAGATGCAATGTTTTTAAAGCAAACTATAAAAAGTTTTTGTTGATATGTATTTTTCTCCAAATTAACATTTTAAATAAATCATTTTATACATATTTTGTATTTGCTTTTTGTGTAATTGTGTAAAAATGTTAATTGTTAATTAAATAGTTTAAATTCCCTCGAGAAGAATATTACGAATAAATCCAATTAGTGATGACTTTTTAATAAGTGGTTTAAAAATAGTTAAAAAGGTTTTGAAACTATTTCTAGGGGACTAACTTAAACACAACATACCCTTATTTGTTTTAATTCTTCATAAAATAAATTTCAGTTACAAAACAAAACAGTTCAATTATAAAAACACTTTAGGGCTATTCCACATTGTACAAAAAGTTTAATATAAATTTCAAATCCTAGAAAATAAAAAACTAAATTATTCAAAAGTTAAAGTAGTTTCTAAAAACTTCGAAGAATTTTACGATTTGATGCTTAAACTTTAAACAAAATTTTTTAGACTTTATAGAAATTTTTTAGAATTTAATAGAAAATTATTTTTCTATTAAATCATTTTGAAACCTTTTTTTTTTTGAAACTTTTTAAAATTTCTATATAGATTTGTCTCATGCAAAATATAGATGGGGCTCTTGCTTTTCAAATTGAAAATTTATGATAATAATTAAATAGTCTTTCATTGAGAAATTTTTTCTTTAAGTTTTTCATTGAGAAATTTGGTCTCCTTTAAGTTTGTCACGCTGTGACATGTCATGTCGTGACACTAATAGTAACATTTTTCATTCTAGCGTAAGAATATTTATTTATTTTAAACAAAGATTTAAAAATTACTTGTACCTAAAATAGGGCAATAAATATTAATAAATATTTAAATTTAAATATTTTTATGCTATGTGTCTTAAGTTTATGTCACGTTGTGACGACACGGCATGACATTTTTTAAAGTTAAATTTTACAAAGACTATTTTTTATAAAAATGTTATAAAAAAAACATGTTGGTTTACCATTTGTAGTATTTTTATTATTTTTTATTTGTGGATAAGTTTTGAAAACTCTTTTAATATAACTAACATTGTTTTTTTTTATTAAACTTGTAGGTGTACCTGTAAATATGTAGACATATTTTACTAACACCTTTGTTATTTAGTTTTTCTTAAATTTTGTCGCTCCATTTCTGAAGTTATTCTGAATGTTTATTGTTTATACAATTCTTATAAAAAGTGAACTTTCACAAACAAATTGTTTATTTCTTCATTGAAAGTAATGAAAATGCCTCTGACACATGTTAAACACCACAGAAAATATATAGAGAAAGACAAATGCAAAAAGTTGGTCCGGATTTTATAAAGGAAAAGGATTCGATACGGAAAAAGAAAAAAATAAATTCTTATGCTGAATTAGCACGTTTAAAGGACAAGTTAAAAAAAAAAAGAGTAGAGTTTCTTCATCTAAAATAACATCTAACATCTCTCCTGCTTACAAATCATCTTGTACACTTGGTAAAGCTGTTAAAAAAGCAATACGTGTTCTTCCAACTTCTCCTCTTAAAAAAGCAACTGTTGTTAAACAACTTGCAATTTAGTTTAACAAAGATTTACCAGATATGCAACAAACACATGAACCTAATGCTCTTAATGATGAAACGAAGCTATGCGTCATTAGTTTTTTGAACAAGATGGTTTATCCTGTGAGGCACCTGGAGTAAGAGATTCGATTGTTTTAAGAAGTAATAAAGAAAAAAAGAAAATGCAAAAAAGGTATTTAACAATAAATATAAGTGAAGCATTTCAAATATTTAAAAACGAACACACTGATTTTTCAATCAGTAAATCCAAGTTTGCTAGTTTGAGACCAGGCTATATACTTTTATCAAGCTTATCAACCTTAATGCCTAGAAATGTTTGTTTATGTCAAAAACATAAAAACATTTTATCTTGTCACTCAAAGCATTACATTTCATCGATTTAAAAATTCCCCTTTATTGGCATGCTTTACCAATTACTTTAGTGTGTGACGAGAAAAATGATAATTGTTGGAATGATCTTTGTGAAGCTTGTAAGGACGCAAAGTTATTTCTCAAAATGTATAAAATTAGATAAAAAAAACCATGATAAAGAAATTAACTGGTACCTTTGAGAGAAAGTTATGCAGCTTAATAGAACCAAGTACCCCGAAAAAGCAATAAAAAAAGACAAATCCATAATTTTGTATAACAATGATTGCAAAATGCTACCCAAATTTCTTTTGCCTTATTTTATAAAAGGAAAACAATCAATGAGTTATGAAAACCAAAAAAAAGTTTTAAAAAGCAATCTTGATTCAGTTTTATTACAAGTTGACTTTGCAGAAAACTTCTCAACTTTCTGGCAGGATGAAGTTCAGTCAACACATTGGAACAAAAAATTAGTAACATCATTTACTGCTGTTAGCTGGCATGATGACTCTTATAAACCTGTTGTTATTATTTTTGATGATTTGAACCATTCAAGAAGTTCAGTTATTTATTTTATTGACTTGTTAATAACTAATCTTATTAGAAAGGATGTAAAATACTTGCAAGTTTGGTCTGATGGTCCTAGCAGCCAATTTAAAATTTTTTACATGTAGCTTCAATTCCATAGCTTGAAAGCAAGCACAAAATTAAAATTAGCTGGAATTACTTTGCAACCTCTCATGGTAAAGGACCATGCGATGGCATAGGAGCAACCAAAAAAGATTAGCAACACAAAAAGTTGTTCAAAGAGAAGCTCTGATTAATGATGCAGCATTTTATAAAGCTGTTAGAGATGAAAGTCAAATAAACATTTTCATGGTTGCTACTGGAAAAAATAAAACTGTTTTTGATGGCACAGAACTTGGAAACATCATTAATAATGCTTGTAAAAACATAATATAAGATAGCCTGGCCAGTTGGGCCATTTTCGCAATATTCTATTGTTTTTAAACAATAAAAGTTAAAACTTTGAATTTATGTTGAAAATCGTTTATTTATCGTACCCAGACTACCAATAAGTGCACAAAATCTAAAAAATGGCGAACTCAACAGATAAACAGTGCTTCAATTATTTCATATTAGATCTAGAATCAGATATAATTTTTTGTAAACTCAAGTTTATCAATAATTTCAGTTCTTTTCTCATTAAAATTGGGAGTAAAAATGCTTAAACCAAATTCATTTAAACCAAGTCAGAGCATAAATTCAAACGCTACATAACAAAGCAGCATTCAAATAGTTGCTCTTTAACTCAGCAAATTAAAACACAAACTGATATTAAGCAAACATGTTCTACAAATAAGTTCATGAACTTTGTTTAAAAAAACATTCTTATTGTTACAAACAATTTTTGCTGCAACGTGTTCTGCAAAGAAATTCATCAAATTTGTTTTAAAAAACTTTCTTATTGTTAAAAACGATCTTTGCTGCCTTCCATATATCAGAGATTTTTTATAGTACATATTTTTAAAAGATGATACGAAGCTATTATTCAAGTTAATAAAATGAAGTTATTAAAATTATTTAAAGTGAAGTTGAAGTTTTTTATCCAAAATTTATAGTTGCAGATCAGAAAGGATTTTTCTAACAGATCCTCACCTCTAGTAGGATATAAACTTGTTAATCATATTTAAAAAGAGAAAAATGAAAAAATTTAGTTCAATGTTTTGGTTGTTACGTATTTAGTACTTTTTATCAAAGAATATGTTAGTCAAAAAAAAAAACAAAAAAAAAAACCTAGAAAGGGTTTTTAAACTCCATCGAATAAATATTAAACATTTAATAATGGTTATTTTGATAACCAAAACATTTTTAAAAACATTCTATCATTTGAACTGTATTGTAGTATGATTGAAAGATGCAATAATAAAGTGAAAATCAATTAAAGTTGTGTAATTTTTTACTTTAAATAATATTATTGTATAATGTAATGAATAAAGCAATTTGTCTAACTACTTAAATAGTTTAATAATTTTTTCGGAATTTTATTTATAAAATTTTGAAATTTTATTAAGACTTCTTTGCATCACTTTTCCTTCACATAACTTTAACCTAACAGGTCACTTTTTAGCCTCTATGGATTTTTTTAAAGATTGACAATGCAACTTTTGATACCCCAATTACTACAATTACGTGCATGATATAACTGCAACAATAAATACATTTCTTTATTTAAAATAGCATTCAAAACTAATGACATGTGTGCGTGTATGTGTGTTCTAAAAATAAGTTCATGAATTTTGTTTCTATTCACAAATAATAATGGCAAATGTATATATATATATATATATATATATATATATATATATATATACATACATACACACATATATTTATACACGTATATGTGTATATATGTATGTATGTATGTATATATATATATATATATATATATATATATATATATATATATATATATATATATATATATATATATATATATATATATATATATATATATATATATATATATATATATATATATATATATATATACACACACACAGACATATATATTTGTGCTTTGCACAAACCATTAAATCTTGTGATATTCTTGCATTGAAGATTTTTATCTTTTATTTTATGCCAAATAATGTTTTTATAAGATTTGTTGCTAGTAAAATAGCCACAAAATAGCTTTGATATTTTTTTTATAATAAAATAAGGTTAGACACAACTTTATTAAGCATTGATCTTTTTTAATGTAAATATTTAAATATTGACTTTTGTCTTCTTCAGAAGAAAAAGTTGATTTCTTTGAGTTGAGCTTTAGTAATATGAGAAACTACTATATTCTGTCTAAAGAAGGATTTGCCAATGAAAAGCTCTTAACTGGTTGATTTATTGAAGGTAGTAAACCTGTCGATCCAACAAAAAAGTTATCTGATATCATATTTTATTATTAGTTATAATATATTATAACTAAAGATATATTTTTATTTATAATTTGTAAAACTTTTCTTCTTGATTCTTTGTTATAAATATCATCCTCGGAAGAAAGTATTTCAAATAGAAAAAGATTTATACTTCTTCGAGAAGTTCCAGAACCAAATATGTAACAATTAAGACGAGGCATTTGCAAAAACCAAGGATAAATCAATAATCTTCTTGCAAATATTCTTGCGCATTTGTTTACAAAAATGCGCATTTGTTTACAAAAAGTGTGCACTCATTGGTAGACTGGGTTCTAAAAAAAAGCTAACAATAAGATAAACAATAGCGCTCTTAAACTGGCCGGACTATGTATATTATGACTATGTTTTAATAAATATATGTATATTGACTAGGTAAAGCGCCTGGAGTTTTTAGTGCCCATTGCTTAAAACAGTTTAATGATAAAATGGAAATGAAACCTTATTCAAGTGCATCATACTTAGTTAACTAGATAAAATTTAGTAAAAAAAAATAGTTGAATTTTACAAGGCTTTTTTTGAAATTATTGTAAACAAACTGTTTTGTTAAATATTATAAAAATCCGAATAAATTGGTTTCTTTTGTTTCAACTGTCTTTTTGATGATGTTATTGTCTTAATATTCCAAGATTTTGTACTGGTCACATCGTGATGTCATGGTGTGACGTAAACTCTGTTAATATATTTATGTGGTGTCTCAATTTAAATTTATAAAACATTTAATGGAATAGCCCATGACAACGTGGAATAGCTCAATTAATAATAATAATAATAAATAAGATAAATAATGTAAAACAAAAAAGCAATAGTGAATTTTATTATACATTTTATTACTCTTTCAAAATATTTTCTGTGTTTGAATATACCGCACAAGTTACTTCTGTGTTGTTTATTTTGAATATACCGCACAAGTTACTTCTGTGTTATTTATTTTGAATATACCGCACAAGTTACTTCTGTGTTGTTTATTTTGAATATACCGCACAAGTTACTTCTGTGTTGTTTATTTTGAATATACCGCGCAAGTAACTTCTGTGTTGTTTATTTTGAATATACCGCGCAAGTAACTTCTGTGTTGTTTATTTTGAATATACCACACAAGTTACTTCTGTGTTATTTATTTTGAATATACCGCGCAAGTTACTTCTGTGTTGTTTATTTTGAATATACCGCGCAAGTTACTTCTGTGTTATTTATTTTGAATATACCGCGCAAGTTACTTCTGTGTTGTTTATTTTGAATATACCGCGCAAGTAACTTCTATGTTGTTTATTTTGAATATACCGCACAAGTTACTTCTGTGTTGTTTATTTTGAATATACCGCGCAAGTTACTTCTGTGTTGTTTATTTTGAATATACCGCGCAAGTTAACTTCTGTGTTGTTTATTTTATATTACACCCTTGAGCTTGCAGCTTGTTTGAAAGTGAATTTGTAAAAAAAAAAAAAAAAATATTGTATAGCTAATATTTGTTCATATACTGTTAAAAAACAACCAAAAATTTTGCCAATATTGTGCTTACAATAAATGCTTCTAGGGTGTTGTATTGCAATTTTGTATTAAGTTTACCTGTTGACTGGAGTTAAACAGTTCAGCTAAAACCAATTTTTCTGGAACTAGCATGCATGTTTTTGCTCTATTCAAAGACCCCATTAGAGTATTCATCAGCTAACATAAAAAAAATAATTTTTTATTGAGAAAGAAAAATATTACAAGTAAACCCATTTAGTGAACAAATTTACATAAATAAAATAATTAAACTTGTTAAAAATAAATTTAAAAGGTTTACAACTGCGCTATATAAAAAGTATAACATATCAACAAAAAATAGCTAAAGAAATTAAAATAGACTTAACCATGTCGATAAAAGTCAAATATAATAAAATTTGCTTTAAAAAGTAAAAGAGATCAAATGAAGTTAACAAGATAAAATGCGGGTTAAGAGTTCAAAGGTTTTTTTATTACAGTTTAAACTAGGTTGCTGTTTAAAATGGGCCACTGTTTAAACTAGGTCACTGTTTTAGCTGGGAGTAACTAAGAAAATGTTAAAGATTGTAAAAGAGCACTTGTTAACAAAAATACAAAATTATAGGAAACATTTATACTTCTATCAAAACTAAGAAATGTTGTACATTACAATAAAACTGAGAAATGTTGTACATAACAATAAAATTAAAAAATATTGTACATTATAATAAAACTAAGAAATTGTGTACATTACAATAAAATTGAGAAATGTTGTACAATAAAACTACACATGTTTCATAGAGTTGTTAAAAAATCATGAAATAACTTCAGCCATGAAAGCTGAAATGTCAGTTTGTGTGATTTTAAAATCTGATTTTAGAAAAAACGCAGTCATTAAAAAAAAAAAAATTGGAGGAAAAGTACATTGCAAACAACTTGGTTCTATACTTAGTAGTGTTGATAAGATCTAAATCATACAAGAAAAAAGACTTATTTTTATTTTATTTTAGAAAAATTTGTATGATGAAAAAAGTGATTAGTAACTGTAAAGAAGAATAAATGAATGTGTCAGCCCTAAAAGAAGAATGAATGAATGTGTCAGCCCTAAAAAAGTTTTTAAAAAGTGTAATATAAAAGTGTGATGAAAGTGAAGAACAATTATATATTTACATAATTCATAACAAAATGGTCACCTCTTCCACTTGCTCCCCAGAAGTGAATTTACCACAACATTCTCGCTCTAGTATTTCATCAAAAGCCATTTGAAGATGATTGTGAGTTTCTAGCAGCTAAATTTAGATAGCATTGAAAAAGTTATAATATTTAACAAAAAATTTAATATGTAACATACCAATAAAAAAATTCATAAATTTGAAATACTTAGATTAGTAAAAAAAATTTCATGGATAAAAACAAAAACAAAGCAAAAAAGATTTTTAATTTTATTATATAATGTTTAAAATAATGTTCACAAAAATTTATTTTTTTTTTCAAGCCATTTGTCAAATATTCACAAATCTCTTTTAGTAAACTTCAAAGTAAATTGGTTAAGTGATTTTTCTGACTTTAGACATGAATATTTTTTTACCAGACCTTATTTTTAGCCATTAGAAGTTTAAGTCTAACGACTAAAAACGAGGTCTGGTAAGTAGGCAAGTAAATAACAGATTATTGTATTTAATTAAGACAATTCGTGACAGTTTTAGTAAATCAATTCAAGTGTAACCATTGAGAAATTTAAAAGTTTAAGTGCCTGTTACAAAGTTATTATAAAAGGCTCTTTATGTCGCCTTGATAATGCACACTAGAAGTACTAACACCCTTCTTTTACAAAATTGGATAAAATTTTAATATCTAATTTCATAGAGTTTACACTTCCAACATGTACAAAATAATATTATAGGATGATTACAACCACCTCTTAAAAAATACAATCACATCTGTTTAAAAAAAAAGAACAATCCAAAACTGGATTTTCATTATTTACTTGGAAAAGACCAAGTAAATAATGAAAATAAGCAATAATTAATTTTTGAATGAACTTTAATTTTAAATAATTGTAGAATTTGAAATAAGAAAAGTTTAAAAAAAGTAAAATATTGTAAAAATATCTATGATGTAAATAATATCAAATTCAAAAAAAGTAAAATATTGTAAAAATATTTATGATGTAAAATAATATCAAATTCAAAAAAAGTAAAATATTGTAAAAATATTTATGATGTAAATATCAAATTCAAAAAAAGTAAAATATTGTAAAAATATCTATGATGTAAATAATATCAAATTCAAAAAAAGTAAAATATTGTAAAAATATCTATGATGTAAATAATATTAAATGCAAAAAAAGTAAAATATTGTAAAAATATCTATGATGTAAATAACATCAAATGCAAAAAAATAATATCAAATTCAAAAAAAGTAAAATATTGTAAAGATATTTATGATGTAAATAATATCAAATAACAATGCTTATATTCACAAGTAATAACCTGGCTGTTAATAAATAAGTTTTCTTTTTTTTTCAAAAGTAAATTTTTTGCAACAAAGTTATTATAGTAATAGAAAAACAACAAAATATAACCTGTTGCAATTTCCAAGGACATTGTTCAAATATAAAAGTTCCAATACCAGCGCTTCCAAATTTAGGGATTTTAAATTTCAACTCCTGTTACACAAAATTTTTTTAATATAATGATTTAAAAAAATAATTTATTTAAAAAATTCTTTATTATTCACTTTTTACAAAGTGGTTTTATGAACAGTTTTCCTATGGTTGTATTATGAACAGTTTTCACATGGTAGTATTATGAACAGTTTTCACATGGTAATATTATGAACAGTTTTCACAAGGTAGTATTATGAACAGTTTTCAGAATGTTAGTATTATGAACAGTTTTCACATGGTAATATTATAACAGTTTTCACATGGTAATATTATAACATTTTTCACTTGGTAGTATTATGAACAGTTTTCACATGGTAGTATTATGAACAATTTTCACAAGGTTAGTATTATGAACAGTTTTCACATGGTAGTTTATGAACAGTTTTCACATGATAGTATTATGAACTAAAAACTTACAGCTTTCATAACATGTTCACCTGCTACATTTATCCAACCTTTCACAAGCTCAGAGCTAAAAATAAATTTAATGTTGATTATTTATAAGACCTCACCTATAATTTAGAAAGAAAAAAATTAGTTACTTGTTAAAAGGTAAATTACTTCCTTTACTTGTATCTGTAGCAGACATACCTTAAATAATAAATATTAGAATCTGGAAGTTTTTTATCAAAGTAAAATAACATCATGTATTTATTTTTTATGAGCAAATATCATACCAAGTGGCATTTTGAATCTGCTTAAACAGCTCTAGAAAAAAATATGCACATTAATTTCACAATCCACATAATAACTAATGCATAATAAATGAACATAAACATTCAAAAAAAAACTTTTGCTGCATATGTATACTAGTGGTGACTCATGGGATTTATTATTATGGGATAAAAATAAGCTTTAACTAAAATTCTACTAAAGCAACAAAATTTTTAAAACTACTACAGTATATATTTAAAAATATTATGATAAAATTATTATTAAAAAAAATTTAGCAATTTTATGTGTGCGACCTTTAATACAACTTGACTTTATATTTTTTACTTTTATAAGTGACATACTAGGTTTTGACTCAAGTAATGAGCCTAAAAAATAATGGTAGGATTACAATAATTTGCATAATTTATTGGTATTAGTCATTGGTAGGTTTACAATAATTTGCGGAAAGAACTGAAGGTTGGTACGATTGTTAGAGACATAATTAAATAAAAAAATTAAGTCACGCCTGATCCTGCATCTGCAAAAAAAGTTATTCAAGGACAAAGGTTAAAAACGTTTGTTTTCTTCACTAATCTATTTTACTAACTACCATGACAAACATTTTGCGGTTTTTCTCTGATCTTGAATAAGAACAATAAAATATTGTAAAGTTTTTTATTAATTGCCACAATAAAAAAAGATTTTACAATGTGAAATGGTAAAAAAAAGAATTTAAGAGTATAAATTTAGTTTCATTTTTTTTTTTAATCTATTTGTTTTTAAAGAACAATTTTATAACCCTTGTTTATAAAAATAATTAACAAATATCTTTTTGCATTATTTTTCAAACTAAATTATTTAAACATTTTTATTTAAACGAAAGAGTTGCGTATTTAAAAACAAGTTAAAAGTAAGAATAAAATTTTACAGTTAATGAAATTTTTTTATACGGCTAATTCTGAAAAGTTTATACTGCTTCTACAGTTTTTTTTTTTTTTTTTCTTAATTAAAGTTATTTAAATTTATCTCTGTATTCAACCGTATCAAACAAAATCGTAACAAAACCGCATCAAATCCCAAGAGATAAATTAAATAATGACAAATATTCAAAAAGATCAGCTCGAGGCGATTAAAGCAAAATTTTTGGCGGAAATCACATATCTCAGAAAATTAATTGAAGTCCAACAAAAAAAAAATTAAATTCAAGATTCAGAAATAAATAATTTAAAACTGAAAATTGAAGATCAGCAAACTTTATGTAAGGGTGTTCCAGATTCATAACTGGGCATCAGTGGTGTCTAGAAATAAAGCACCAATAAAACAACTTATAGTCATAAATGCTACAATGAATGAACAGAGAGAGAGGGAAATGAATGAACAGAGAGAGAGAGGGAAATGAATGAACAGAGAGAGAGAGGGAAATGAATGAACAGAGAGAGAGGGAAAAGAAGTTTAAAAATGTTATTATATTTGGATTACCAGAGTCTCAAAAATCAAATTTAGAAGAAAAATCTACCAAAAACAAAGATAAAGTTAACTAAATTTTAGAAGATATTGGTTCCACAATTAAGCCAGTTTTTATTAAAAGACTGAAGTCAAGTAATTCATTAAAACCATTCATTAATACCTATTGGTCTACAGGATGCATCGGAGCGCAATCCACTATTGCTTCGTGCTAAAAAATTGTGAACATTAATCCCATACGAAAAAGTGTACATTTCACCTGATTTAACGGCAGTGGAGAGACCCATCGATTTCAATTTAACAAAAAAAAAAAGAATCAGCTCAAAATGACTTAGACAGTACTTCTCCTTTTAGATATGCAGTCTGTGGCAATCAAGTTGTTAGATTTAAAAAGCAACTTTAAGCAAACATCTTCTCTTGACTTAAAATGTATATATACAAATGCTACGGCCCTTAATAATAAAATGGATGAACTTAAACTTGTATGTTCTCTTATAAATCCATGTATTGTTGGAATTACGGAAACCTGGTTCAACGACCAATCAGTCACCAAAATTGAAGGATTTATACAGAAAGTTTTACAGAAAAGATAAAAATAATGGAAAAAGAGGTGGTGGTGTAGCTTTATGTGTAGATAAAAATATTGACTCATGAAATAAACGATGTGAAAGCGATTTAGAACAAGTCTGGGTTGTAGTTGTAATAGAGAAATCAAAGTATTTAGTTGGTTGTATATATAGACCAAAAGAATTTATAAATATCGATAGTTTGAAAAATGTCTTCACATTTGCAAGTTCATTTATCCTCATTATTTTTTTTATTTAGTTAATAATTCCTTAGATTTGATTTTTACAATGAATGATGAATAAGTTTAGAAACAAGTACTACTCTCGGCAACCTAATGAAGAGTCATTTAATGATAACTTTCAAATACGCTATTAAAGAGTACATTAAATCAAAACCAAAATATATCTTTGACTACAGTAGAGGAGATTATGGTTCTATATCAAAAACTGTTAATGAAGTTGATGGGAGTTGTTTTAAACAGAGTTCAGTTCAAAATATTTATGATACTCTAAAGCATGTAACAATTTTATTCATATAATCAATTTAAATTCAAGAAAAAGAAAAACTCTTTGGATAAATTATGATTTGAAGAATCTTATAAGAAATAAAACGATTTTAAGAAAATCGTTTTATTTCTTATAAGATTATGCTTTAAACTTCTTACAAAAATTATGCTTTAAACTGGAGTAATAAAAACTTAAAATTATTATACAATAAATGCTGCATACAAGTTAACTATAAAATTTCAAAAGCCAGAAAACAATATGAAATAAACCTTGTTCATAAGTCCAAAAAAAATCCTAAAATTCTTTATAGCTATATTAATAATCAAAGAGCTGTAAAACATTCTATAACAGCTATTAAAAATTATAATGGTTGCATTTTTAACGATCTAATTTCAATTGCCGATGTACTAAACAACAAATTTCATATTATTTTCACAATGAAGAGCGACGGATGACTAACCATTTTTTCCTCGCGATTTAATGGTATAATTGATTTTGATTTTTCTACAATTACGATTGAAAGTGTTAAGCTAAAACTACAGAACATAAAATGTAATAAATTAATTGGACCTTGTTCATCCAAAACTTTTGAAATACTGTTCCGATTCACTGGCTCTTCCACTAATTTTAATTTTTAAAGCATCTATACAATCCGGCATACTGCCATTATAATTTCGTTCTGCGGATGTAATACCTCTTTTTAACAAAGGCGACAAGCTGTTAGCACCAAACTATAGACCAGTTTCCCTTACCTCAATTCCGTGTAAAATTTTAGAAAGTTTGTAAAAGCCTCTTTAGAAAAATCATTATATAGTAATAATTTAATATTATTAAAACAGCACGGGTTTGTAAAATCAAAATCATGTACAACCAATCTGCTTGAAACACTAGACTTCATTTCGTACTCTTTAGCAAATAAATGACCAGTTGATCTTATTTATCTTGATTTTGCTAAGGTATTTGATACAGTACCTTATATATGTTTAATTTTGAAACTGGAGGCGTATGGTGTAAGCGGAAAACTTTTAGAGTGAAAAGGAATAAAAGGGTTTATAAGTAACAGACATCAACGAGTCAAACAAGGTGATGTTTTCTTTACATGGAAAAATGTTTTAAGTGGTGTACCTCAGGGATCCGTGCTCGGATCGATGTTATTTTTGATACTTATTATCATTTTGTCTAATTGCCTTCAAAATGTAACAAAACTTCAAAATCCGGAGACATGATACAGATGTACAAAATGTTTAAAGAATTAGAAAAAGTTGAACTTGTAATTTAGAAAAAGTTCAAAAAAAAAAACAAACTTAGTTGCTCATTTTAAATTTCATTTAAAATGAGCAACTAAATTTTATTTGTAGTAAACTTTTAACAGCAAGTAAAACAGTTGTTGTTGATCATGGAATGCAGCCTTTGATTGATTCTAGTGGTGAAAGAATATGATAGGTTCCTTGAATGCCTGAAAAGTCAGACAAACTATGTGCAGTGTCTGTGAAAATTCATGCGACACATGAATTGTCACATATTGAGTATACATATTATGTATACTCAAAAAAGTATTATTATTGCATTTAAAACACAGCAAAAGATTCACATCCAAAAATAGTCTACCTCATACAAGAGCTTGCATAAGTGAATCCAATTTTTTTGCAAAAATATTGTTTATATGGCCTTGATGAAGTAAATAAGGGGGCTAAACAGAAAAAAACGTAAAAAGACGAACTGACTAATCAGAATACTTTTATAACTTTGTAAGATAACAAAAGCCAACTTTCTAAACAATACTACAATCCGCCTAATAAATCCTGAAAAAAATTGAAGTAGATTGATTAAAATTTATAGATATAAAAAGTAGATTGATCTAAATTCATTTTATCCAATAATAATTTTATATTTAAAAAAAAAAAAAAATTTAGTATTTGATATAAATGATTTCTCTTTGTAAAGTTTACTTTACAATTGTTACAAAGATAACAAACACTGTATTATATATATATATATATATATATATATATATATATATATATATATATATATATATATATATATATATATATATATAAAAGTATATATATATATATAAAAGTATATATATATATATAAAAGTATAAATATATACATAAAAGTATATATATATATATCTAAAAGTATATATATATATATATATATAAATATATATATATATATATATATATATATATATATATATATATATATATATATATATATATATATATATATATATATATATATACCAGGTATACCGGTATGAAGTGAGCGTCAAGATACAAATGTCTCGATAGGGAACATTTGTTGTGAACGAGCCTTTATTTTTTTTTGTTTGTTTGCTATGACATCTGTGAAACATATTTAGTATACATCAAGTCATTGAACAGACAACATCATATTTTTTCATCGTGTTAAAAATGTTGAATTTTGTACCGGAAAGTGATGATTTGCGGAAAGCATTAATTTTTTGTTTTCATTTGAAGAAAAGTGCTGCAGAGTTGCATCGAATGC